GTTGTGCAGCTTCAGAGCCTTCCTGTACTCTTGACTGCTGAAGTCAAGATAGTGCTGATCAGTTTTATGTCAGGAGCTGATACACCCTTGAAAAGTGTATGGGTTTTCTTTGTTGTAAGTCTTGAGAATAAAACCCACTGTCCCATATATGCTAGGTAATTGTTCTACTACTGAGTCACATCCTCAGCCCTAAAAGAATTTATATCTTAATTGCTTAAACTTGTATAAAGAAAACAGAATCACACTGCCAATGCCACTGAAATGTTTTTGCTTTTATTCCTATATTTAACATCACTACATGTAAGTTATTTCTAAAATTCTTCGAAAAAGAACACCACACATATATTTCAGATATACACAGGGAATTCTCTAAAGGTTTCCTTTACTATTCAAATCCTCACTAAATCTATTCCAGATTGTCAGGTAAGATATCAAAGCTTAATCCAGAGGACTAACGATGGAGCTGAGTAGTAGAGTACTCACCTAGTACACGAGGTCTTGTGTTCAGTCTTCAGTATTGGGTGGCAGGAATGGTGTCATATGCAAAGGCAGGGCTATAATTCATATGTCTTGCTGCCAGGTGGCTCTGATTTAATTTTATTAGTAAAAAGACCAATAAAAGTGATTAGATGTATTTGTACCACCAGTGACACAGGCTGCCCAATGGGACAGTCATGCTTGTTTGATTGTTGGTTCAAGCTTGTGGGAACATATGAACCCAGAACTGGAGACGTGCTAGTATTATTGGGTTAGCCTTTCTTGAGACAGCATTTAGACTTTCCTGACTTCAGTAAGGAAGATTAGGACTGTATGTGATACTGAATACATAGGTATTAAGTCACAGCAAATACTCTGAAGGTCCTACAAGTCCTCCTCCAAGATATTTTCCTTTGTATTTACTTGTTTATAGGCCGAATCCAGAAATGTTTAGTTTTATATTATTGGAAGAATTCTTCCCAAAACATAACCAAGTTACATTAAGAAAGACAATAATTAAAGCATCTCCCTTGTTAAAAATTTAAATACTCTTTTGCAGGATATTTACTGGTTAAAAACAGTTGGACAGAATACTAATCTCGGTGTAAGAAGAAAATGTGATTTTTGTTATAAACTGCTAACTCACAAGGGTTGTGAAATCAAGCGTAAACTAAATAATAAACAGATGTGAGTCACCAAATATAGAACGCATCAGTACTGACTGCAGTGGGGCACTATGAGATGATAGGGTATTCACCGAAAGATACAATTTAGAGGTCACAATATAATAGTAACCTTTCACTACGTAAATTGAAAATTAACCTTGGAAGTATTAGCTCATTTGTAGCTTATAGAGATGCACTGGGAAAAAATGTGCAGAATGTCATTCTTGTTTTTGCGTTTAAAGCAGCCTTGTAGGAATATGCTCTTCTCTTTACACAGGAATCAGTTCTGTTGATGTCCATGTGCCTTTTTTTCAGTGGTATAATTTAGAGTGTGTTGCTGACATTCTAAATTACAGTATTGGATCATCGTTAGATGATTTTAGGCCTTTAGTGCACTTTAGTCTCTTAGTAACACCCTGGAGACTCAGAGTAAGAGTTCTAATTCCAGCTCCACTGGTGACGCACCATTTAGCATTTAGTGCATAGTCCTCAGCAGCAACAGAATGCCGGTGTCAAGAAGGTGGATGCATGCTGCTATTGCTGCGTGACAAACCAACCCCCAAACCTGGGGTACTGAAACCTATTTGATATTCTCATGGCTACGTCCTTTCTTCAGTCAGGTGAGTCCCACAAGAAGTTTTCTGACTCTTATATCCCTCCCTCACAAGGAGATGACGGCTCTGTGGTTATTGTGACTCAGTGGCTTTCCATCCTGAGAGTGAATCCTTCACTGTTTTCTCACAAAACATGAAAACCAGGAGCAAAGAAATTCTCACAGTATTTGACAAGCATTAAGCATTCCATGTGTTCCAGGAAGAGGGCACAGAGATCTTACTAAAGAGCATCAAAATGAACAAAAATCAAGTTTTATTTTCCATGAAAAGAAGCATTAGTTACATGTTGAGAATGAGGAGATTCCCCTTTTCTAACACAGAATTCTGAGTGTTTCTCAGAACAGTATACTGTCAAAGTGTAACAGAATACTTCAGGTGTGATTTGACCCAGAGTGCAATGGAAGATTAGGGCCTTCTTTAGTCTTGCTTTATATTCAATCATACTTTGTTAGTTTTCATATCCCAGTCTGTTGTGTATATTTTCCAATTTGATCACAATTTTTGGATACCAAGAGGTGTTTCTTGTGTAAGGGCACCATTTCATTTTCCAGTCACATATTAAGCACATATGGTCAAACTTTTTCCTAAAGTGTAATTGTTTAGCCAATCTACAGATGCCCTAACCTTACCTGTGGGGTAAATTAAAGAGATCTGATGTAACTTTTCTCCTACATATGAAAACTGATTAATTTCACTGTTGCTCATAGCAAAATAATAATCCCAATACATTTAAATCTTTTAACATTTTAATATCAACTATATAGTTTTCTCAATGAAATTTATATTTTTATTTATGAAATTTATATTTCTAAGTAAGTTTGGGCTGAGGGGAAATTTAAATACTGTACATGCTCATTCATAATGTATGCTTTGAATTGTGCTTAGCAGTTGGGATTGTGGCATGAACCAAAGGGTAGGTAGGTAGTAGAGTAAGGGTCAGAGATGAATGCAGAGGCAATCAAGGCAGCAGAACAGGCCAGCCAGCTCTCTGCTGCAGCCTCTGAGCCTCAACAGGAACTGCTGATGCTTCTGGGTGTGGCTTGTGTGCAGTGTCTCAGCTTCCTTTTTTTTTTTCTACCTACCAGTAGGTATGGCTAATTGTGTACCACTTGGAAACAGCAAATGGTACCTCATCTTATTTCCTGTTTTCTCAGGCACAGATGAACTCAGTTGAGAAAAGCTATTTGATTATCACTTACGCCTTCTTTACAGAAATGTGTTGCTGATTTTGTAACTGAAAAAAGTATCACATAATTTCATTCTCAATCCTGACTTTCTGAAGTTATTCTATTCTACTTATTATAAGCTAACTAATATGTAAATTTTTTAAAAGATTAGAAAGTTTTAATAGCTTTTTTCTCTGATACATTACATAAAATTTGTAACTGTAATAATTTTTAAATGCCTAAATATGTATGTGTCTTTATTACCCTAAAACAACAGTCCTGCTTGTCTAGTTTATTCCATTTTGAGATCCAAGAAATGTTTGGGAAAGGCCCACTAGAGAGAAACTGAGTGGAGTTCAGGATGTTTACTGCAGGTCTCTTCAGGACAAAGCCTGCATGTTGATTTTCAGTCATGGTGGTAGATGGCCAAGAGAAGTGAGGAAGCATCTTACTCAGCACTGATTTTCAGCTCCACTCCTAGCTCTCTGCTTGCAGAAGCCTCTCGGTAATCCTAGAAAGCTGAGTGGTATTGTCCTTCTGTCCCTGACACTTCTTCCTTCATGCCCTGCACACTGGAAGCTCTCAGCATGAAAAGCAAGGAAATAGCTCTCCAGTTCAGATTCTGGAAATCTCACTGGAAGTATTCTGCAATTGGGTTTGGGGGAAGTTCCTTAGAAATCTGACTCTAAGAATGATTACTGGTTTGCCTAAGAGAACTTTAATAGCTTCTGTGAGAAAGAACTAAGGATAACACCCTCACAATTGACCGTAACTTAAGTGCACTGAACAATGAGCTACCGGTTGCTCTTCCAGTATCGTGTGTTTCATCATCGTGACCTGAGAGTTGGCCTCAATCTGGCCCTTGTACAGCTGAAAGATTTTGAGGGGGTAGCACCATTGCCCAAACTCTGGAACCTGCTCCAGTTAGCCTACAGCTACAAATGTTGAGAATTTTGCTGCGCATTGTCTCTAAGAGTATAAACTTATCCTTGAATGGATTTTCACAAAACACTAAGATCAAGTTCATAATATCCTGCATGCAAACAGAATTTAAAATGTTCTTGAAATGATTTGAATTCTCAGAACCCAAGATAAATTCCTGAAAGTATAGATGCTGGTGAGACCTGAAAGTAAAGATGAGCTCACCCTGCCTTGTGAGAGTTGGACTTGGAAGAAGCCACTGCAGGCCTTAGAGAGGTCCACATTACTGGCAGGTGACAAGGCTGTCCCTGGAGAACAGAGACAAAGGAGACCTGACCTTAGGAAATCACTGAAGAAATTGTGGTTTTGTTGAACCATCTATCTGATGAACTCTCTAACCTCTATGGCAGCATTGCTGTATTGTAGACAGTACTGTCTCATTGGGTGGTACTCCTTTAACTGTGCATAGGATTAGTATATCATGTATTAACTAATTAATGTCTTGTAATGAAGCTTTTAAGGACTTTTTGAGAAAACATTTATTGTAATAAAGTACTGTTTCTAAAGAAGTAACATTAAAATTATTCTCCCATTTGTGATTTTTAAATTTTAACAACTCTAAATAGCATTAGCTTCTACTTTTGAGTACCTGCGTATGCCAGGGAATATACTTAAACATTTAGTCAGCATGTTTTCCATATTACAGAGAAGGAAGTCAGGCCTCAGCTGAGTGAGAACAGGGTGGACAGCACTGGTCAGGCTCAGAGCCCTGGCCTGCCATCTCCTTTCCTGTTTTGCCCCTTTTACATTGGCCAGTATTTTAGATGGACATATTTACATACAGTTGATTAATTAGCCACCAGTTTTTCTCTTATGTTAGAAAAAAGTCAAGATGAATAACTCAACTTGTTTGCTCCTTCATGGGGGCCCTAGAATCTGAGTAGAGGAAATTTGATGACTTATGTGATTTCTTGCCATATCGCTTATTATTTACCTGCAGAAGTGTCATTCAAAAATATACATGTGACAGGGCCACAAAACTGTAAGTTTCTCTACATCTACCATGTCCTGGTGAGCTTTCTACATGCCAGGGTGCTGAACCATTTCTGCACAGCATCCACCAGGCAGTCAGACCTCACACACTGTGATCTCTTCAGGTCGCACTGGTACAGTGGACAGAGAGCGTCGGGCTCACTCTGGTCAGCAGAGATCTCACCTCCATGCAGCTGAAGACGCCTGGTGGCCAAGTTCTGACCTATTGCATCCTGCAGATGTTCCCCTTCACATCAGAGAGCAAGCGAATGGGCATCATTGTCAGGGTATGTTCACAGTGTATTGCCTTTATTCATGGGGACTGCAATGAGGGTGCTATTACTCAAGTCATTTATTTTTCTAGTTTTTAAAGTAGAAAAAAAATACTTTTCACAGATAAAAGTTAATATTTACTCCAGTGTCTTATGTTTGTTATACTTTTTTAAAAATAAAACTATTAATTTTTTACCAAGAAGCTAGTGTGATTGTAACGATATGAAATATCTGGTGATATAAAATAATTCTCCTAAGACTACCAAGAAAGAATATATAAAGGGAGTTATTAATTTTTAAAATCAACTAAACTTATTTTGTCTTCAACAAAAGTAGCATGGAATTTACACTTAATAATGATTTATGATTGTAAAGTTACTAAAACATGACTCTGTTACAATTTTCTTAGCAAATACCAGAAATATATCTCTGAAGTTTGCTACATTGAAACAGTGAAACATTGAATTAAACTTTGAAAATTTGAGAGAATTAAGGCTTACATTCCAGCTTACATTTTTATTTACTAACAAGTTCTAGCTCAAAAATTGCATCATAACCTCTCAAGGCGTACAGTGACAACTTCTCAGTTCTTATTGTGCTACCATTTAAAGGGTGGTCTCCATAAAAAAAATGTACAAATAGCTCATCACAGAGGAATATGTTCACTAAGGGTTGCTTTCCCCAGTGCATTTTATGTTAAGCTTACTGTTATTTGCAAAGAGTGATGTGGCCCTGCTATTCCTATTTGTATTTTCACTACTACAGGATGAGTCTACGGCAGAAATCACATTTTATATGAAAGGTGCTGATGTTGCTATGTCTACCATTGTCCAGTACAATGATTGGCTGGAAGAAGAGGTAAATTATTTACTCATGGAACTGTGCAAAATGTTTTTGTAAAATTTAATAAGCAGGTGACAGAAATAGTATCTTTTCCCCAAATTATAGACACTGGTATCATTGAAATAAGTTGAGCAATTAAAATTTAAAACCAGGTATCAGTCATTGCTAGAGATAATAACATTTTCCTACTAAATTATTTTAAAAGTTTTTACTTCTCAGTTTCAGAAAGCAGAAAGGAATTGTGCTTAATTATGAATAATTTGCTTTCTATTGAAATTACTACTTTTTTTAGGTATGATGCATATAGAGGTGTACAAGCAAGTACTTACAAAGAACATTTCATATGTAATTGAAAGCAGTGAAAAGCATTGAAGTATTTCACAAGAAAATTTTGAAGTAACTTCACATACATAACCAAAATTAGACTTTAATATTTTTATTTTGGAACCTAAATATGAGCAAGATGATTCTAATTAGAGTTTCAATCTATCCTAATTTGCTCACTTAAAAAGTAGAAAATAAGGTATGCGTATAACCAATCCTGTATTAAATCCTCCATAAACAAATCTGATTTACGTTTAGGCTCATGAGGTTATATTATTGTTGATTTAATATATTAATCCAGGGGCTGGGGATTTAGCTCAGTGGCAAAAGCGCCTGCCTTGCATGCGCAAGGCCGTGAGTTCGGTTCCCGGTACCGGAGAAAAACCAAAAAAAAAAAAAAAAAAAATTAAAAAAATTAATATATTAATCCATAGTCAGATTTCAGAGTAAGACTAAGGCCAGCTGTAATCATAAACCTGGCCCTTCTTCCTGTGTATGTGTGTTATTATCGGTGTTAGTGTCTCTCATTCCCCTCAGACCTCAGAGATGATCTGTCAGGACAGCAGCCTCACCCGATGTCCAAGATAGTATTGGCAATATGAATCAATAGCTCCTTCAGGGCACTTTGATTTAATCAGGGGCATGAATAAATTAGACTCCCCAAAGACCTAGTAAAATGCCATAAAAATTACTTTTGGTCATAATGATGTGCAATTAATTGTAAAATACTTGTTTAATTTATTTAGCTTTATGAGGTCAAATCAATAAATGTCTTGCAACAGACAGAAATGTCAGATTGTTTTTCACACAAATAACTTCATTTAAATTATTATGTACATTTATTATCTTAACATTGTATCTCCTTTCTTTGGATAAATCTTTTGACCCTTCACCAGTGTCTTTGTTGTAATATGTAGTCTGAAAGCCTTTTGTTTTAAGAAACAAAGCAAAGCAATGGCTCTCAGAGCCTGGCTTTGTTGAAAGCTTTCTGCCTCAAGCAGGTCCCAGAGTTGTTTCCCTGCTGTAAACTGGTGTTCTCTACTGCCAACTACAAATTCCCAAAACAGCTAATCATGCTGGACTTTGGAGCATTTAAAATGTTACTAAAATTTGAAATAGTTCCTCAAAATTTGAAATTTGAGAGGGAGACAAGAGTTAATAAGGAGCTTATAAATTATTCTGGACCTCAGAGAGTAAATAAACCTGCTGGCAGGTGAAAGTCTCCTTAAAACGTTTTAAATTACATTATTTCAATGGCTAGAAATTTTTCTTCAAAATGTGATAGTTTAGCGGTAATGTAGCTAAGTATTCATTAATAATTGCTAAAATTTTGTTTTTTATACAATATATTACTTTCTGAAAAACTGGCTTTCAAATTTAAAGCTTAAGTATACTTTCTGGGCACTTGGTAATAATCTGTGCAGCTTTCTGTATGTTTGTCCCCTGGTGGAAGAGATTCCTATCTGTCCTTGCATCTCTGCCCTCCTGTTCCACAACATGGTGAGGATTGCCCTTATATAGGAGTGATAGTGAACCTTTTATAGTTTTCAGTGATATAAGCAGCCTGCTGCAGCATGCGTACCATAAATTCACCATCACTGTTACATGGATACATCGTGATATGCATTTGCAAATGTAGGTTGAGTTTCCAAAGTTGGTGTCCTTGGAAAACTGCAATTTAAATTTTGAAAGAAGTTGTAACTACCTTCAAACAGGCATGCCCCAGCCCCTGCCAACCTTGTACCAGGCAGCCTGGAGAGGTTGTTCATTTGGTTTGGTTTGAATTTTCTTTTTTTTTTTCTTTTAGTGCTGGGAATTGAACCCAGGACCTTCACACTGAGCTACAATTATTTTTTTTGTGTATTTTGTTTTGAGGCAGAGTCTCGTTAAGTTGACCAGGCTAGGCTTAAACTTGAAGTTCTGCCTTCCAGAGTGCTAGGATTACAGAAGTGTGTGCTCATACAACCTGTTTCTTTAACCTTTTACCACCTAAAACTGTTTTCTGTTTCTAATGGGGGAAAATACTACTTTATTATTTTGATGCAGTTTCTTACTATAAATGAGATTAACATCTTTTACATACCTATTGAATGTATTTTTTCTTTTTTTTGTTTGTTTTGTTTTTTTAGTTTGGTGTTTTTGAGACGGATTTGCTCTGTAGTTAAGGCTGGTCATGAACATGAACTATTAGTGGACCATAAACTGTCAGTGATCCTCCTGCCTCAGCCTCCAGAGTGCTGGGATTACAGGCCTGCCTGTTTCTTGTTTTAACAAGTAAATCAGGTGGTGACACCCCCAAGGCTCTCTCTTACCTGCCTCGTGATACCTGAACTGCAGGGCCAGGAGTGTAGGTCTCCACCGGCCTCAGTTCTCGCCTCAGCACTGTCCACAGGAGTGCCCTGACTTACGGTGATGACCCTGCGTGATCCACCTGCCTCACAAGGCCAAGAAATATGAGTTGAGAATAGAGCAACAGCAAGAATGGATGTCCATGGCACTTATTTTGTGCCAGACAGTGCCACGTGACTGTACACACATGAACTGACTTAGTCCTAGAATATCCCTATTAGAGCTCATCTCTGCTGATGGAGAAACTTCAGGCAAGGATAGCTAGGTTGTTTGCCCAAGAATACATAGCAGTATGTAGCAGAATAGCTTTCATGCCCACCCTCTTAAATCTGTGTTGTTAGCACTACATTCCACAGGAAGCCTTCTTGTCCCCTAGGCCTCCCCAACACCACCATCTGCACTCTCCTTATTTTACTTACTGCATACTACCTGGTGTCAATCTTCAAGAACAGTGAGCTTGAAGTAAAAGTCTTCCCTGTGGTAGAACATGTCTGCCACTACCAGAATAGCTTGACCCCGCCTCCAGTAAGTTTCTTACCCTCTCATATCAAAGAAGCAGTAAGATTAGTGACATCATGGGGATTGGGAGATTAGAATGATGAGTTTACTGGAATAAGCACAATGCTGAAGTTACACCCAACTTCTCAATGTTTTGCTTATGTCCCCTCATTGAGGAGAGAGAAAATCTATATCATGTGAGGTGTATGGCCCTCGCCACCCCTGTGCTTCTGGACAGTGGGCCAGCACAGCAGTGAGGACAACACACCAGCTTTGCCACAGACTAGTCTTGACAGCACCGTGGCCCTGTCACTGTCATCTCAGGCTCCTTGGGAGACCCATGAGTAACTTGGCCCTTCCTTTTCCAGTGTGGAAACATGGCACGTGAAGGGCTGCGGACTCTTGTGGTGGCAAAGAGGGCACTGACAGAAGAACAGTACCAGGACTTCGAGGTGAGCCAACATCAGTCACTCACCACTCACAGACTCACCTCCCATGTAGGGCACTTTGTTTCTCCACTGACATGAGTCCTAATTATATGTACATGACATGAGGCCGTATTGCTGCAGCGTAAGGGTGGAAGTGGCCTCGCTCCATTGGAAGTCTCTGTCTAGGCCCAGCACCTTCAGTGTCTACAAGAGCTGGAAGATTCCATTTCTTCAGGACAGGCTAAGAATGTGTTGTCCTCCCCAGTACACTTGGGAATAGAAGTGGTTCAGACTTCAGAGTTGTTTGGATTTTTTATTATTTGCATAGACTACTGGCTCAGCATCCCTAACCTGAAAATTTTAGCTCTAAAACCTAAAGTTTGATCCTTTTGAGGATCTTGATAGTGCTACTTTTGTATCTGACTTTATATCTGATTTTGGAGTATTTCAGCTTTTGGATTTTCCAGTTAGGGATGCTCTACCTATATTGTAAATTCTTATATAGCAAATGATGAGAAACCAGCTGTGTAGAGCACACATATAGTACATACACACATGTACACAGTGCGTTCCCTCTGTTCTCAGAACCGATACAGTCAAGCCAAGCTGAGTATCCATGACCGGACCCTGAAGGTGGCCGCAGTGGTTGAGAGCTTGGAGAGGGAGATGGAGCTGCTTTGCCTCACTGGGGTAGAGGACCAGCTGCAGGCCGATGTGAGGCCCACACTGGAGATGCTGCGCAACGCTGGGATCAAGGTATAGTGGGCTGTTCCTGACTTCGCACATGGCTTTCTTTTAAGCAAACTCTGTTTTCATTTGAACTGTTGTTTTTTGACACTCCTGTGGAATGGAAGAGAACAGAGGTTCTGAAGCAATATTCTACCCTAGATCCTATCCTTCCTTGCTACCATAGCCTGTGTACCTCCAGAAATACCTCCAGAAACTGCCCCTGCCTCTAAACTATGTGCTTTCCCCATTCCTCCCCAGAACACATGCATTTCCCCAAGATAGATGTGAGGCCCATCAGCTCACCCCACCAGGTGTCCCTGGTTCAGCCATGTGCCCTACCAATCAAGGTTTCCTTACCTTGCATCAGCATATCAAAATCCTGCATCATAAAGTCTGAATATAAAGGGGTTTTTTTGCAGTAGGGTGCAAGCTCCCCACACCCCATTCTTGGTGGCACAGAGGATGAAAGATTACTCAAAGATCACACTTGGTCTGAATACCAAGAGACCCAGAGGAGCTGGTTCACAAACTCAAATCAGCACCAATCTGAGAAATGTTTGGCCTTTTTATTTGTAACCCAAGGATGTGAGAGCAAAGATGTAGAAGAAAAACACTTGCAACACTCTTATAAGAGTTTTGGTCAGGGGATAGGGAAGGAATGGGATGGTTTGTTATGTGACACATGTTGGCCTAGTTTAAGCAAGCTTACCAAGTAGAAACTTACCAAAGGGCAAGAAAAACACAATGGCCAGAGCAAACATCTCTGAGAATAACCTATTACTGATTCTGCTTGGTTTGTTGCCTCTGCAGATCTAGTCTAATCATTAACCATGCATTCTGAAAGCCCGAGAACTGTTGTTCCAAAGTTCCTTCATCTTTACATTCATTTCAAGCACTGCTCTGGCCATAGCTTCCCCACATATATGTATAGTTTTTAATATAAAAGCATTGTTTGATGTTTTATTCTGTATAAATGACTTTCGGCTTACCTATAGACCATTTGCTCATTTGAATTTGCGTTGTTTTCCACATAAAAAACCAGATTGAAATTATGTTTCTCCTAGCTCTGTGTGCTGCCTTGTCAAGCCTGGGTGAATGGAAAGCAATGTAAATATTGCCTTTTGGCATCTGTGAGGGTCGCATTAGATGTAGTCCTGTGTTTCCAGATCTCAGCTGCTGCATCTGAACATCACTTTGGTCTTACTTGTTTTACCTCAATACAGACACAATGGAATTTACCTTTTTAATCACTTTAGGTCCATAGTTCATTGTATGAAGTATACTCTCAATGTTTACAGTCATCACCGCCATCTGTTTCCAGACTTTTCATCCTCCCAAGCTGAAACTTTCTCCCCTTTTCCAGCCCCTATAGTAGTAACCCCAGGCTACTTTCTGGCTCTGGGAATTTATTTGACTTTCCTGGGTATCTCACACGAATGAATTTCTAGCTGATTTCACCTATCATAATGTCCTCAAGGTCCATCTACACTGTGTTAGAATTTCCTTCCTTGCTGGGTGTAGTGTCACATGTCTGTAAGCCCAGAAATTTAGGAGGCTGAGACAAAGATCACACATTCTAGGACAGCCTAGGCAACGTACTGACAGCAAAATCCTATCTCAAAATTTAAAAAGTAAACAAAATTTAAAGGGCTGGAGAAGTAGCTCACTATGAAGGCATCTGGATTCAATTCTCAGTTCCAGTCAAAACAAAAACTCTTTTTTTCCTTTCTTTTTAAGGCTGAATAATATCCTGTTAGGTGCATGGCTACATTTTGTTGATGCATTTATCTGTCCATGGATACTTGGGTAGCTTCACCTTAATAATGAGGGTACAAATGTGTGTTCAGAAATGAACACTTTTAAGAATTGAAAATATAGTTGTATTGCTGAAGTTCACCAGTTTAAATTGTTTTATAGATATGGATGCTAACAGGTGATAAACTTGAGACAGCTACTTGCATTGCCAAAAGTTCACATTTGGTATCTAGGACACAAGACATTCATATTTTCAGACCAGTAAGTATGTTTCTAAATTACTTTGAATTTTTAAATTTTTTTTCCCACAGTTAAAATCTATTGGTTTGTGAAAATGTATATGTTGCTATTTCTTACTCAATTTATATAAATGCATGTGAAAATACATCATGTTAAAATGTGATCAAAAGTTGCTTTTTGATAAATTTTAAATTTAAAAGCATTTTACTGTTGTACTATTAGTCTTTATTACTGTTTTTAACATGGGCATACTGTGATAGTTTTTTATTCAATTAAAAAGTGTATATTGTTTAAAATACATTGTCCTACTAGTTTCACACATTACATGTGGTCCAGAGGCTTTCTAAAACAAGCTCTAAATACTAAGTGGAAATAGATTTTTAATCTTCCATTTTCAGATTAAATGCTCTTCCTTAATTAGCTCTAAGAAAATTAATACAGATGATCTAAAGTTATGTCATTACTGTATATATTATAACTAAATGTAATTCAAACAAAAAATAAAAGTTCCTTGGATCTTGATTGATGGTGAGCTAGCAGACATCTGTGTCTGTGGCTGTCTGAATGCAGTATTTGCACCTATAGAAATGGCTGTTTGAGTGTCATTTGCATGTAAATGTATTTTGTTTTGAAGCATCAGAATCACAAATTAGGCCCTGCAGACTACTATTTGCAATTAAATTATTAACGCTTCTGATAAAACCTCCGATCAATTTTTGTTGACTTTTCAGCATTATAGCACCACAAATTAAACTTTTCACAATAAAATCTACCTATTTAAAGATGAGTCTGAGATTAATATATGAAACTTTTATTTCTCTCCTATATCATTTCTTTTATGACCCATAAAATCTCCACAGAAGGAATGTCAAACAGTATGTTTTCATTCTAAAATTAATGATATTTCAGGATTATGACTTTAATTTTACTCATTTGGATTGCTTAATCCTTTAGATGCTAAACCAAAATTGAATGAGATAAATGTAAACCTGTGGCAGAGAAAAACAGAAGCAATTTTGTAAAAGTATTCTGTATCAGTCTACATGTTACGAAAAAAGACAGATTTAAATAAAACCCTGATTTTAGATAACTCTGTCACTTACCTGATGTGTGGTAATGAGTAACTCAACTTCCTTGGACCCTGGCTTTCTGATTTATGAAATGAATTCTCCAAACACTACCTGCCTATACCCACTTGCCCTACCTGTCATGTTAGTAAATTATTGTCTCATGGAAAGTACTAGAAAATTCTCAATCATTGTTGTTATATGTTAAGGTGATGTATTTGTAATGTCAGTAACTCCCACATTGTACAAAGGTGATTGCTAGTGTGTGGGTACCCTTTCATATGAATTTCAAGAGTGTGGTGCTCTTGTTGCCGTGTATGCTGTAAATTTCCTGCTTTCCTTTGTTGCAAATCAGAAAACATAGTCACCTGAGTACTGCAGGAAAAATTTAAAAGGATATTACTATAGGACTTAATATGTACCTTTGGTTTTGGATACTGTATTTGAACTCTGCTACTGTGGTTTCTCAAATAATGTTCTAGTCTGTGCCTCTAATTTTGAAGACATTTTAATTTGTGATACTTTTTCTCTAATGGAGGTAACAAGTCGGGGAGAGGCCCATTTGGAGCTGAATGCATTCAGAAGAAAGCATGATTGTGCGCTGGTCATATCTGGAGACTCCTTGGAGGTAAGGCTGGTCACCAATCCACTGTATGTCTGTCTCCTGAGATAAGACTGATTGCTAACTAGGTGTGTGTCTGTCCATGTCAGTGGACCAAGACTTCTTGAATAAAGCTTTTTCATCAAGTATCCCTGCCTGTCTCAGCTGTGTTGGCTGTTTTCTCCTGATATGGCAGTGGTATGCAACTACTGAGCAGTCAGACCTGAGGATGTCCTGGCCAAGTCTGAATAATTCTGTTCCTTACTGTTTAGAGGTTGACTGATTTCATCTGACCCAGAATGGTCTTCTACCCCTGCTCATTGTTACCAGATCTATCCTCCCTACAGCCCTGGCCATGGGGCCCACAACTCTTGTTCTGAGTTCATCCAAACCAGTGTTCCCAAGTGCATGTGGGGCACATAAGAGCTGCCTGATAGAGAAGAAAAAATGGCTTGCTCTAGTCAGATCCTGTCTTCTTTTTAATTCCCAGGGCACCTCAGACTGCAAGATCGTAAACAGGACCATGGGAAATAAGGAGGGCCTTAGTTCTGACTGTTGCCTAGTCCTGGGCAGGAAGGTCCAAAGTAGTTTCATTCCTCATTTTATGCTTGGCTCTGGTGCTGGGCTGGGTGGCTATCTCCACTCAGCTTTTTACAAGGCTCTCAACCTGGTCAGCTTGGACCTTGTATGCCTCTTGCTCAGAGCAGTACATCCTTTGGCCTGTACTGCATCATATTTGTTGAATGGCAACCATCATTCTCTCTGATGCACCTGGAGCAGAGACGAGTACTTGCTCCTTGGCCATCACTGTGTTGGAGAACATGTGGGGCTTTGTAGGATCGGTTTCTCCATAGCACCCCAGGAAATGGCCCCACAGGTCCCTTGTTTTCTTTCTCAGATAAGGACATTTTCCTGTCTCCTCCCTGTTGGCTGTTGTTACTTGCACTTAGTTCATGTCTGAGTTTCAGAATCTGACAGTTACACAGTTTAAGCAGCCAGACTATGCTACTATGGCTCCCGGCTCCCCACTTTCTTCCGTCAAGACACACTGACACTGCCTCGGGCCTCATATTTTTGCATTTGTCGTCACATTTGCAAATAACATTGTTTGTAGAGTTACGATTTGTTTCTTTTAAGCTTTTAACAGTGTCAGTTTAGATTCTGCTGTTCAAGATAAGGGCTTCATTGTCTGTCCTTGCTGTTGTCTTCCCAATATAGTTAAATCTTCATCTTTGGTTGGATCAGTGTTCAGTGACAGATATATGACATTTATTTTGTTTTCTTCTATTCTGATAAGTTCCAAAAAAGATTGAGATGACCAACAAAAGATTTGTATGCCATATAAGAATAAAAACCATGTAAATAAGGAAGATAAGGCAAAGGGAAAATAAGGAAAGGAAACTAAAATAGTCGGGTTGTGTGACAGTGAGCCCTGGGAAGTCCCAAAGGGGCTCTAAAATGTGGCTCTGGGCTTCCTTGCCCCCTGAGAGTAGAGATAGTCAGAGACACTGTTTAAACAGACTACCAAAAGCACCTCGAGCACCAGCCTCAGTTTACCACCACCTGGATTGCTGCTAGACAGGGAAATTGCACACCTTCCCTTGTAAAGCACATGTTGTGTGCCATACGGTAGGTACTGTTGGGATGGAACCAGCAGTTGGGGAAAAAGAAACACTTCCATGCTGGTGGTAGTATTTTGTACTATATGGTCTGAGAATTTTGATTTCCAGTGCCTATCCGTCATGCTCGGGGATGATTCCAGTTACTAGCAGAATGAGCAAACTCTATGCCCTTTGACCAGTGCTTTGGAATTTTAGTTTTCTCAACCAAGGAAGGGAATTAGTAACTAGTGCTAGGTCTTTGACAAGGACCTTGTGTTTTTAAAACCTCATGTCAAAACAAGTCTTTATCAGCCACTTGCTAGGAAAAAGAGGCAGAAATTGTCTTAAGAACAAACTAAGAGGAAGGCTTCCTGGAGTGGCCTAAACACTTGTCTCAGAAGACATGGATCTTCTCATTCACATCAGGGAGACTTCTCCACTTGTCCTGAGCTGTAACTACTGACTCTGGGTCTGGCCTTTGTCCCAGACACTTTGCCCTGTCATGCACTGCCCCTGGTAGAAGCCTCCAGAAGTGAGGCTGATGTACTCTTTCCAGCCAGGGGCCTTACGTGCTGGTCTTTCCCTGCCTTGCCCCTCGTTCCTCTGTAGGGTTGTGTCCCCCAGCCCCTGGAATAGGGTTATTCCTAAGGTATACAGAATATGGTCACAGGTGAGACCCAGGAAATGAAGCACACCACTCACTTGAGATAAGCCACTGGCTTTCCCTCACAGTTCTGCCCGGTCTCTGCTGCTTGCACCCAGAACAGTGTGGGTGGTGCAGGTGGATTCACCTGTTGCTCTGACTTTCAGGTCTGTCTGAAGTACTACGAACATGAGCTTGTGGAGCTGGCGTGCCAGTGCCCTGCAGTGGTGTGCTGCCGCTGCTCACCCACCCAGAAGGCCCACATTGTGACGCTGCTACGACAACACACTGGGAAGCGCACCTGTGCAATTGGTGAGACTCCTTGGGGTGGGGAAGTGCCACATCCAGAGCCAACTATTGGCGTGTGGGAGTGCCATGTCCCTTTTAGCAGGGAGAGTTTCGGAGTGATTGGTTTCTTGACTTTATAGGCAGAAATGTTCCATCTCTAAAACTAGATTTCTTTTTATTTGTATTACTGGGAATTTTTTAAACAATCCCTAATGGGGAGGAGTAATGGACAGGTGTTTTATTTAATTTCTCGTATTTTTGCATTCCTTAGGTGATGGAGGAAATGATGTGAGCATGATTCAGGCAGCAGACTGTGGGATTGGGATTGAAGGAAAGGTAGGTTTGTCCTTTTGTGTCACATCTTGAACACATAGTGCACATTTGGTCAGTAGATGTTCAGTGTACAGTCAACGTGGAGTGAACACAGCACATACTTGGTCAACACCTCCTATACTTGGTCAGCGCACATTCAGTCAGCACATTTGCCATCAACACATGTTGAATCTGCATCTCTTCAGCATATCTTTGGGGGGCATGTATGTAACAGGCTGGTCTGTCAAGGCCTGAGCCACATAAATGGATGAGAGACAGACCAGCATCTATCCCTTCTGTCTTTCCCTCTGTGGCTGGGTGCCCATCTATGAAATGCAAGTTAACACCACATATATTAGTCTCATAACCCCTTGCTGTCTTCCTTGTTTTTAGAGTACCCTGAGGAACCTGTTCTCTTAAGTCACCTGTGCTTAGGACTTACTGGAGTGTCTCAGATCCCCTTACACCTTTCTTGGCCTTCCATAGCTCTTCAGCTTCTCTTCCCTGCTTTATTTGCCAGGTGTTTCTTCTGCATAGGTGTTTCTGTCTCCTGGCCAACCAAACCATGGTTGAGGTTTATCTTTGGGCCAACCTTAATTATTCTTACAATCATCTAAATCATAGTCACCTAATTACATCCTCAGCAAGACCTGTAAAATTAATTCAGTTCCAGTTTGGCGATTTTTTTGACTGCTTTATTTTTTAGTGCTTTACAGCAACTTTGTTAAATAGGAGATAGATTTTTTTTTCTAATATGAAATAACTGAGGTTTGGAGGATTGTCTTGAAGAGGCCCAAGATCACAGGGTTGAGGGTGGGGGTGTTCCTTATGGCCAGAGCCATCCTCCATCTTTTTTCTTAATTTCTGTGCTACCACTAAACCGCTGAAGTTAACTTCTTAAGTACCTGGGAGCAAACACTTTTGATGTCTGCATTGCAGGCACCTTTGGGCAGGTGTACAGGCTCTTTTAAGGGCCCCTTAACCATGCGACAGTATCACTACAGGGCATGCCATATGAAACTTCCTGAGCCACACAGAAAATGCTACAAGCTCCTTTTAATTTAGACCAAGTTCTAAACTTTGGCTCTTGGAGTAAGTGGTTCACAGTGTAGTGTTTTGCAGAGGTGTCTCTGTGTTTCTGCTTCAGGAGGGGAAGCAAGCCTCACTGGCAGCGGACTTTTCCATCACACAGTTCAGACACATTGGCAGGCTGCTCATGGTGCACGGGCGGAACAGCTATAAGAGGTCTGCAGCTCTCGGCCAATTTGTCATGCACCGGGGTCTCATTATCTCCACAATGCAGGTATTTAAGTCTCTTGTACCTGGGGTACTGTCAGAAGATAATGCCATTTAGAAAAACCTGGCAGTGTCATGGGAGACTGGCCACTCAGCTTTATTGAATGTCATTATATTTTTATTAGATATTAATAATAAGACCCTCTGGAGAAGCTGCAGGCAAATGATGCAAATGTGACTAATGGTGATGGTAGTTTTATTTTATGGTGTTGTGTCTTTTTAGGCTGTGTTTTCTTCGGTCTTCTATTTTGCATCTGTCCCCCTGTACCAGGGATTCCTCATGGTGGGGTAAGTGCAGTTCAGTGTTCACAGTGCCTTTTAGCATCACAGAGGGAGAATTTTTCTTTTGAAAAATATATATAGAATATTGAGTAATATTCTCAGTAACTCCTTACAGACTGGCTGTGAAGGTTTTTCATTAGATTTTGTTTTCATGGGGAAATTTAATTCGTGTCAGGAACTGAGTTGAGTCTGAGATTTTGTAATAGGGCTCTGTAGTATAACAAGAGGGGCAGAACCAAGGGTCTAGCACATATAGTCATCATCACCATTAGCAGGGGGTAGTAAGCAGGCCCCAGCTACTCCTCAAGTTTACTCTTGCTGTGAGAACAGTACTTCATCATGACCAGCCATTAGCCAGTAAACACAAAGGGAAGTAAAGTGCTAAGATATCTCCTTAAATTTGAGGAGATGTGACGTATTCCAAAAGAGTCACTAGATTCTGTCTCTGTCAGCAGTGAGACCTCACATTCAAAGCCACTCAGATATCTTGGACAAGTACACAAAAGGCATGGCATGGGAGTTAGAATTAAAGCTCAGGTAATCTTGCCTAATAAATCTGTGAAAAAGGAATTTCCTCTGCAATGTTAATAAATTGCAATTTCTCCTTTCCTCATCCTTTATGGTTATGCTTAGAGTACTGATGTAACTGTTAATGTGTGGCCAGGCCTCTGCTATTCCCCTTCTATAGTCTACAAAGCTTGTCACTCACCTCACCCAGGGCTCCATCCTGGGAAGAGAGAAACAGTAATCACAACAGCTAACCCTGATATTGCTGGCACTGTTCTGAGTACTCATTCATCTTCATTGTATCCCATTCTACATATGAGAAGAGTAGGAGGGATCCTTAAGACCCAGCCTAGAATCAAACCTGGTTGGCTTAGCTTGCTGTCTTTGTGCTTGTTTATGCTAATACCTTTCTCCAGAGCATCAGCTCAACTAAGCCAGCAGAGGATAGACACAGAAGTTCTATACCCTGTGGGCTGTTACAAGTACATGCTAAATGCCATCTTGTGTGACAGGCCCTTGAATCCCCAAAGTTCCTAATAAAGTTAGTATAATGCAAGCAAGTAACAGTTTGTGCAAGTGCTAGGTTGATAAATCTGAGGTGGGAACCTCATCTACTTCCCATGCCAGAATCAGTAGGGGATGCTTCTTCTTATTCCAGAGATTCCTGTCTCATCTCACCTAATCACCCAGACTAAAAACAAAAGTGTCCTCTCTGGCCATTATTCTATGGCAGTGCTTTTCTCTCTCCACAGCATGAAGGGCCTCTTTCAGGGATCTGTGGGGTTAGTTCATTTAGGCCACCCATATAATCCAGGATAACCTCCCATCTTAGTGTCCTTCGTTTAGCACATGAAATGGCACATTCTCTGGTGCTAAAGAGGGTAATGTGGACATCTAGAGGGCTCTTAGTCTATTCAGCAAACTATGATAGAATTAAGAATCTCTGACCTGGGTGTGTATACTGCCTTCCCCAGCCAACTAGCTGTGGTTCTGGAAAACTGGCTGTGGTACTTGACCTCCTAAGCATTTGTTTCCTCATCTGATGGAAAGTTATAATATGGAGCCCCAGATTATGATATTTGGAAGGATATGTCAAGCTCTCAACATGGAGCTCAACAAATCATAAGTAGTTTAAAAAACAAGACTTGATACAGCTCTGCCATATGACCTGGTTGGCATTCCTGCCCAAAGTAAAAGAAAAATCACAAAATAGCTCTGCACTAAATGTTTATAACAGTTTTATTTGTAATACATATAACCAAAAAAGGAATAACCAAGATGTGCTTCAGTGAATGAATGAGTGGCTAATCAGCTATCATTCATCCACACCATAAGGTACTCCTCAACCACAACCAGGAAGGCAGTATTGCACAGCCACAGGGTGGGTGATCTCCAAGGAACTATGCAGGTGACAAAGCTAATCCTCAAAGGTGAAGTACTGTCCCAAAATGACAGAGAAAACACAGATAAAGAAGTTGGGCATGTTGAGCTGAAGAAGGAGGTGGGTGGGAATAAGAGTGTGCTATAAGGGGCAGCAGGTGATCTATGTCAGGATTGTGAGTCAGCATCCTGCTAGTGAGACTGTTATCTGGCTTAGTAAGATGCTGCCATAGGGGGAACCAGGGTAAATGGTGCCAGAGATCTCTGTTAACACTGACAACTACATGTGAGTGTATAATGATCTCAACATGAGGAGTTCAACAAGGGAATTTTACTTTTAGGAGGGTTCAACTCCCTGTATTATTTGTGCCTTAAAGAATATGCTACTGGGGGAAGTGGGGAGAGCATCAAGATGGCAGAGGGGTAAGCAGCAGAGAAAGAGCCTCTCTGAGAGTCGCCATCCAGATGCTGGAATATAGAAACATGAGGAAGACATGAAAGAGGGAAGTGGGTCCCCTGCACCCAGGAAGGATCTGAAGCATGCATTTAAGCCCACAGAGAGAGTGAAGAGAGAAACTTGGATGAAAAAGGAGGTAGCCAGCTGCACCTTCTCCCTGAAATGGGACTCACTGTGTGAGAGGAGCAGTTCAAACTTGAGGACACACGGTGTGAATGTGGTTTCTAGCCTCTTTGTGGCTGTGGTTCTGTTCTGTTCTTCTTTTTATCTTTTCCTTCTCCCCCTGTAATTTTCTGCACCAGTTTCCCAAAGTTAGCATGATCCCCTTTGTCTTCCAGCCTTACTTCTAATCTCTTCCTCTTCCACTTCTGTATTTTCTCCCTAACACATTTTAAATTTTAAACTCTGAAGGCAAAATTGACATATGAAGGACTTGTATGCTGCATATAATTTTCAGGTTTGTTTTATATTTTGTTATATAACCACAAATCTAGTTCATATGGTTAAAGGTGGCAAATTAACGGTTAGCTCAGTTTGTCATTTTTAAGACTGTATTTGATGCTATTGTTATTGCTAATGGTATCACGGTAGCAAAAAGTGATGTAATTGTTCTAAACAGCTGTTCTTCCTGGTATTCCAAGACTGAGATTGACTAAGGGTCACAGAAAATACTGTGGCAGAATGCCAAAGAACTAGGGGCTGGGCCAAACAGGCAGCAACTTCTCATCCCTCAACAAATTAGAGAGGTAGGATCTTGCAAGAGACTCAAAACCCAAAAGCCAGATTCAAAACCCAAATACCTTGGAGAAGGAGTCATTTCCTAAGGGTTCTAAATACTAGCGGTGAAGCAAGCCACCACAGGCACTTTACAAGCATCACCCCAAGAATTAAACTTCAAAAAAAGAAAAGAAAATGAGAAGACACTTAAACAAGATGCAACCCCAGACATCTAGTTCACCAAAGGCAAACCCAGGGCTCGGTGAGGTATGACAATCTAAAAGCCACCCACCTGGCCTCTCTGAAGTGGTATCAACAAAGCAGTTGAATGAAGCGCTAGAAAAAATCAAATCAGAAATAATTTCTCAGATAACTGCAGAGATGGTGTTCACAATGAAAACCATGCTTAATGACTCTAGATCAGATACAGACAAAAAAATAGGCTTGAGAAAATTATGGAAGCCATGGATGCTCAGCATAAGAAAGAAATGGAACCCATAAGGCAGATTCAAGCAGTTATCTAGAAGAATAAAAATTCCATTGTAGGTATCTGCAGCAGATAAGCCAATGTGAGGACAGGATCTCAGATATAGAAGACAGGCTTGCAGTTAGCAATCATGAAAAGAAAGAGTTCTTAAAAATAGCAAGGGAGGGACTAGAGATAGAGCTCAACAACACAGCACCTGCCTGGCAACTTGCGAGGTCCTGAGTTTGATTCTCAGTACCCCTGCAAAAAAAAGCAAGGGACTATGAGAAACCAATACAATAGCTGCTAGATGAGGCAAAGAAGAACAACTTAAGATTGATTGGAGTCAGTGAAAAAGCAGGATTTAGCACAAATGATTCAAAAACACTGTTCACAGACATGATGGCAGAAAACTGCATTGGTAGAGAGAAATAATTTGAAATACATTTGTGAGGCATGCAGAACTCGATTTAGCTATCATAAAAAAAAATCTACAGCGATGCCTATCATAGTCAAGATTTCAGAAAGTCAGCACAAGAATAGAATCTTAAAAGCTGTTAGGGAAAAGAAACAAATCACCAATAATTGAAAGTTCATCAGAATCACAGCTGACTTCTCAGCACAAACCCTTAAGTCAGCAGAGCTTGGAATGAAGTATTTCAAGTTCTAAAGGAAAACAACCTTCAACCCAGATTGATGTGTCCGACAAAGCTATCTTTCAAAACAAATGGAGGGATAAGATACTTCATGACAAAGAATGTGTGAGGAAATTTAGGACCATCAAACCAACACTCTAAAATGTTTTAAAGGACATTCTAGAAAGAGATAACAAGAACAACAACTTTGTAAACCCCAACAGAAGGAATCCACCAGGCAAAGCAAACAGTTAAACAGAGGGAGGGGGGAAGAAAGGGAGCCAATGACAGAAAAATAACATGACAGGGATAAGTCAATGCATATCAGTTATATGTTACATCAATGTTAATAGTCTCAATTCACCACTCAAAAGACACAGACTGGCAGAGTGGATCAAGTATCAAGATCCAACAATGTGCTGCATAGAAGAAACACATTTAATTCAAAACGAAATTCAGACTGATGGTGGAAAACAACAACACTCCATGTGACAGGAACCCAGAAAAAAGCAGGGGTAGGTATTCTATTTACAGAGTGAGTTTCAAGCCAACACTGATTAAGAGAGAGAAAGAAGGTCACTACATCCTTGAAAAGGGAACAATCCAGGAGGAAACTAACAAGTATATGCAAAAAATACCAGGGCACCAAACTATACAAAACAAATATTAACAGGCCTAAAAAATCAAATAAGCACTAATACAGTCATATTGGGGGATGTCAGTACCCCACTGTCACAAAAAGACAGATCAACTAGACAAAAAATCAACACTGAAATATTAAAACTGAGCCAAACTTTTGAACAAATGGACTTGATAGATATCTACAGAGTGTTCCACCCACAAC